GAGTTTTGATTGTTGTAGAGTGCACATGATTTGAAAACAAATCCATTTCAATCTGACTTTAATTAAAATTAATTATGTATTTTTTAAATGAATTTTCAGGTTCAAATTTCATGAGACAACATCATATCATGAAACAAAAAAAGAGAAGCATATTATATTAGGTCTATTAAAACCCAAGGTATGAAGCCCATGTAAACGACGCACACTTACAAGGCCGATATATGGGCCTTACGGCAGGCCCACTATAAAGACCTTTTTCAAAAGAATTTAATTATGAAAAATAAAATAAAAATGGCGGATGTTTGCCATAATCCGGATGTTGGTTCCTTTCTGATTTTACCTCTAATACCATAATCCATGGAGCGATGTAATTCACCACGTGGCATATGAAAATGTTTTCTCCTTTTTTTTTCAGATAATTTTGTTTTCTTATTTAGTGGGAAAAAAAAACAGTTAATCCCTATTTTAATTATAAATAAATTCCCTCCACTTCTCGATTACACAACATATATGATTTTAATGAAAAATTCAAACGTTATTAAATGTCTATTAATTTCCAAATATTAAAGAACATATTAAGGTATATAACTGATTGTATAATACATAATACGATGTGGTCCATTCTATCTTTTTGTGTTATTTTTTTTTCCGTGGTAATTGGCACCATGTTCACGTGCCAACTGGTTCACAGCTAAAAAAGCTCATTATTAAATTTCACATACTTCAAAATAACAATAATAATAAAATTATTGTAATCAGTATTTTCTGTGTAATTTATTTTATTCTGCACAATATATTTTACAGGAGTCGGACAGGTTTTTCTAACACCAATATGATACAGTATTATTATTTTTTTTGTATTCATTGATTGGGTCTTTTGCGTGTCACAAGTTACGGAGGGTAAATCATTGGTCCAAACTTCATTATACAGTTATTATTACATATTACTAACCGTATAAATATACTGTATACTATATATATATATATATATATATATTTCAATTGATTTTTCAATTAAAATCCAAATTTTCAACCGATGTCCGTTGGAATTTTTTTTTAAATTTTCAAAAAAAATTTCAACCGGCATCCGTTGGAATTCGGTTGGATTTTTTTTAAAAAAAAATTCCAAAAAAATATTCCAACCGGCATCCGTTGGAATTCCGTTGGAATTTTTTTTAAAAATTTCCAAAAAATATTCCAACCGGCATCCGTTGGAATTGTTTTCTAACAAACATCCGTTGGAACTCCGTTAAAAATTTGCAACCGATTTTTCCAACGTTAATCCGTTGAAAATTTTCAACGGATATCCGTTGGAAATACCGTTGGAAATTTTCAACCCAATTTTTCAATTGAATACGTTGAAAATTCCGTTAAAAATTTCCAACGGGTGTTTCCAACGGATACCCGTTGAAAATTTTCAACGGAATTTTAACGGAAATCGTCGTTGAAACGCCGTTGAAAACCGTTGAAAATCCGTTGGAATTCGAGGATTTTTTTGTAGTGAAATGAAGGACAAACCCCCAATTCTTTGGGAGGAAGAATAACAACATTAACATTTATTTTAATACAATCAAGAAAAACGAAAACAAGAAGTAAAAATTGATAAATACCAGGACAAATAGGCAAATATGATTGTGAACCTATTTCCCGAAAAAATAAAAAAAGAAATGGAGAAAAATCCCATTCAGAAAATATAGAAAACAAAAAAATATATACCACAAAAAATATTTCAGAAATACAAAACAATATAAAAAAAATTATGATAAAAAAGACAAATAATGTCCTACTAAAAAAAAGAATTGTAAATGTTGGCTATGCCAAGAAGAAAGACATTATGCAAATAAATGTCCTAAAAAAGGAAAAAAAACAGAAATATTACGAATAACATACGATATGAGCTTTGAACCAATCGAATCAGATTCAGAGTTTGACTCTGATATTGAAATATATGCATATACTACTGAATCATCCGATTCAGAAAATGAATAGAAAAAAATACTAAAATCGGAAAATCCAAATGCAACGTTTATACAAATAACAATTGAAAAGAAAAAACTATTAGCATACATAGACATTGGAGCAACTCTATGTTTTGCTAATAATAATATCAGTAAGAAATGGATACGATTAGAAAAAACCACTACGAAGAGTTGTGGCTGACAAATCAACCCATGAAATATGGTACGTAGCTCAACACATATCAATAATTATTGAAACTAAAATATTCCTAGCAAAAACAATATATCAGTATGATTCTGGATTAGATATAATTATAGGAAATAATTTTCTAAAATTATATCAACCATTCATACAAAAGATCAAAACGATTAGCCTAAAGGCACTTGAAATAGAAGATCAAAAATCAGAACT